GGCTCTGTGAGCAGCTCCAGAAACAACAGGGGTGCAGCCAGCACCAGGCTTACCCGGTGGCCTCGGCCCTGAGGGAGCCAGAGGCAGCGGACGCAGCCACAGGGAGTAGGAGCGACCGTGGGTGTGGGGAGACCCAGCGGGCCCTGCAGGGTGCCATCGACAAGCTGCAGGTGAGTGAGTCCTGGCAGGGGCCATGAAGGGTGGGGTGGGGTAGGTCGCTGCCGAGATGTGACCCCATTATTTTGGCTCCAGAATGACTTCATGGCCCTCGTGAAGGAAAATGCGGACCTGAAGGAGCGGGTGGAAAAACTAGAACTCGGACTCATCCAGCTCTCTGGAGAGAGAGACATGATAAGTGAGCAGGAGGCCAGGGCAGGGCAGGGGAGCTGCAGGGTGGTGGGAGGGGCCCCAGTATCTGAGCCTGTCCTCCCGCAGGAAAGTCCATCAAACCAAATGACCATCAGACAGCAGTGGCCAAGACCCAACACCAGAAGAACAATGTTAGCATGCTGTCCGAGGTTGAGGAGGGGATCAAGGTAAGGTGTACAACATCTCTGCGGGGATGAGGGGGATGGGGGTGGGCGTGAGCCTGGGTGCCGGCACCCGCGTGGTAGCTGAGCACCCCTATCTCCAGGTGAAGCCGCTGGAGCTGCAGGGCCCAGTGATGCAGCTTATGATTGGCCACGAGGTCCAGCACCCTGCTAATGATTCCACTCCAGGGGCCCCAGCCCCCCAGGAGCTTGGTGCTGCTGACAAGGATGGTGAGTAGAGACCTCAGGTGGGGTGGGCAGGCAGGAGCAGGGGAGGCTGGCACTGTGCTCAGATCCCCACCTCCCTCTCTACAAAGAATTTTATGAGATGAGCCTGGATGATAACAGTGACAGCTTGGAGACTGCAGGAGGGAGGGTACACCACACCCCACTGCACAGCAGATTGCTCATGGCTGTCTGAGCTGCGGGACGGCCAGCAACACCGACCCTTGGGCAGCAGTCCCTCTATGCCATGCTTTTACCCCACTGCTGCGAAGGAGGAGGTAAACATCACCATCAGCTAAGAGCTGGCCAAGAAATTTACAAAGGAACAAAGTTATAGGATTAGTCTTCTACATGTTTACTTTATTTCAATGTTAGAGCCACTCATGATGATTTGTGTTTCTAATTTATACTTTATTTGTTAAAAGTTAAAGGAGAGTGGGTCTTCGTGTGGCTTTCACTGATGTTCACTCTGGCATCCTTTAGCG